TTCATAAATATTTATGCCCTTAGTAAGTTTTACCAACTTAGAAGTACCTAAATATATAAAGAAAATATTAACAAAATAAAGGGAAAAGTTGACAACACAATAACAGTAGAGGGATTTGAAACTCCTCTTTCATCAATGGATAGATCATCCGGACAGAATATCAGTAAGGAAACAATGGCCTTAAACAACACATTAGACCAGATGGATTTAATGGATATATACAATATATTCCATCAAAAACAGCAGAATACACCTTCTCTCAAGTGTGCATGGAACATTCTCCAGGATAAATCACATGTTAGGCCATAAAACAAGTCTCAATACACTTAAGAAGTCTGAAATCATATTGAGCATTTTTTCCAACCACAGTGATATGGGACTAGGAATCAATGACAAGAAGAAAAGTGGAAAAAAATCACAAATATGTGGAAATTAAACAACATGCAACTCAACAACCACTGGGTCAACAAAGAAATCAAAGGAGAAATCATAAAATATCTTGAGTCAAATGATAATGGAAATAAGACATTCCAAAATCTAAATGATACAACAAATGCAGTTCTAAGGGCAGTCTATAGCAATATAGGCCTACCTCAAAAAAACAAGTCTCTAATAAACAATCTAACTATATACCTAAAGGAACTAGAAAAGGAAGAACAAATGAAGCCCAAAGTTAGTAGAAGGAAGGAAATAATAAAGATCAGATCAGAAATAAATGAATAGAGACTAAAAAGACAATAGAAATAATCAATGAAACCAAGAACTGGTTCTTTGAAATGTTAAATAAAACTGATACCACGGAAATACGAAATATCATAAGAGACTATTATAAACAATTATTTGCCAACAAAAATGGAATGAACAATTCTAAAATTTGTATGGAACCACAAAAGACCCCAAATAGCCAAAACAATCTTGAGAAAGAACAAATCTAGAGGCACCATACTCCCTTATTTCTAATTATATTACAAAGCTACAGTAATCAAAACAGTATGGTATTGGCATAAAAACAGACACATGGATCAATGGAACAGAATAAAGGGCCCAGAAATAAACCCACTCATATGTGGCCAATTAATTTACAACAATGGAGGCATGAATGTACATCTAGGAAAGGATGGTCTCTTTGATAAATGATGCCAGAAAGACTGGACTGCCCATGAAAAGAATGAAATTAGATCACTATCTTACACCATACACAAAAATCAACTCAAAACAGATTAAAGACTTACTGTACAACCTGAAACCATAAAACTCCTAGAAGAAAACATGGGTGCTAAATTACTTGACAGGGGTCTTGGTGGATTTTTAAATCTGACTCTAAAAGCAAAGACAACAAAACAAAAAATAAACAAGCGGGATGACATCAAACTGAAAAGCTGCACAGAAAAGGAAACTGTTAACAAAAGGAAAATGCAACTTATTGAATGGGAGAAGATCTTTCCAAATGATATATCCAATAATGGGCTAATATTCAAAATACACAAAGAACTCATAGCACTGTACACCAAAAAAACAAATAATCCAATTAGAAAATAAGCAAAGGACCTGAATAGACATTTTCCAAAGAAGATATACAGATGGCCAAGAGGCACATGAAAATATGCTCCACACTGCAAATCATCATTATAACCAAGGCTATGGTCTCTCCTGGTGAATATTCGTGTGCACTTGAAAACAATGTGTATTCTGCTATTTTGGGGCAGACTGTTTTACAAATGTCAATTAATTCCAGTTGATTGACGGTGTTTTTCACTTTATCTATTCCCTTGCTATGTTTCTGCTGAATTGTTCTACTGACTGCTGCAATAGGGAGTGTTGATGTAGCCAACCGTAATTGTGCATTTTCTATTTCTTCTTTAAATTGCATCAGTTTTTGCTTCATATATTTTGAAGATGTGGTTAGGCACATACACATTTAGAACTGTTATGTCTTCTCAGTGAATTCACCTTCTTTTTACGTAATATCCTTCTTTTTCTTATTTACTCTGATAATTTTCCTTATTCTGAAGTCTGTTTTGTCTGATACTAATATAACTATTTGAGATTTCTTTTTAGTGTTTGTGTGACATATTTTTCCATACTTTCACCTTTTGCTTACTTACTTTCACCATTATTTTGAAATGGGGTTTCTTATGACAGAATACTGTGAGGTTTTTTTTCTTAAGCCATTTTGAAAATCTCTTTCAGTTGTGTGTTCTGAGTACAGTCATACCTCATTTTATTGCACTTTACAAATACTGTGTTTTTTTACAAATTCAAGGTTTGTGGCAACCTTGCATTGAGCAAGTCTATCAGGGCCATTTTCCAACAGCATTTGCTCACTTTATGTCTCTGTGTCACATTTTGGTATTTTTCACAATATTTCAAACTTTTCATTTTTACATTTGTTATGGTGATCTGTGGTCAGTGCTTACTTTTTAAAATTAAGGTATGTACATTTTTAAAGACATAATGCTGTTGTAAAATTAATCGACTAGTATAAGGTAAACATAACTACACTGGGAAACAAAAAAAATTGATTTGACTTGCTTTATCACAATATTCACTTTATTGCAGTGGTCTGAAACAAAATCCACAATATCTTTGATGTATGCCTGTATTTAAATTTAATGTAATTACCGTTATATTTGGATTTAGATTTATGGCGCTCTCAGTTTCTTCCTCTGATTTTCATGCTCCGTTTCCTTTTACTTTCTTATCTTGGATTATTTAGTTATGTTTTAGTTCAATTTCAATTGAAATAGATAACTATTGAGTTCTTTAAACTATTTCTTCATGTGGTTTTTCTTTAAATAGTCACTCTACAGATTAATATACATCCTTAAGTTTTCACAGTCCACTTAGAATTAATATTTTCCACTTCAAGTAGAATGTAGAAACTTCCCTTTATATAGGTCCCTTTAATCGCATCCTTTATGCTGTAGTTGTTATATGTCATCTACATATATTAAAAACTTCATCAGACAATATTATAATTTTTGCTTTTAACTGTCAGACATACTTCAAAGAACTTACAGGAGAAAAACAATCTGTTATATTTACCTATGTATTTACTATTTCTATTGCTCTTCCTTCAAATTCTTGAAGTTTGGTTTCCCTCTGATACCATTTCCCTTTTGTGTGAAGATCTTTTAAGTTTCTTTATATCAGGTCTGCTGGCTATGAATCTCTTAATTTTCTTCAAGCAAACATGTATTTATTTCACCTTTTTAAAAGTATTTTTTGCTGGATATAGAGTTCTCAGTTAACAGTTGGTTCAGCATTTTTAAATACTGTTCCAATTCTTTTTGGCCTCCATGAAAGGTCTATAGTCATTTGAATGCTTTTTCCCTTATATATGATGTACTGCTAGTTTCTGGCTGCTTCCAAGATTTTTTCATTGTCTCTAGCTTTCAGTAGTTTGATTATGATGTTTTGGGCATTGACTGCCTTGGGTTCCTATTCCTGTTTGAAGTTTGCTGAGCTTTATCTATATGTTAAGGTTTTTCACCATCTTTGGGACCTTTTCAGAAGTTATGTCTTGATACTGTGCTGCACCGCACTTCTCTTCTCCTTCTGGGATGCGGAGGGTAAATTGTTAGATCTTTGTTGTTGTCTCACAGTCCCTGAAGCTCTGTTTCTTTTTTCCCCAATATTTTTTTCTCTCTGTTCTTCAGATTGGATTTCTACTGAGCTAGCTAGAGCCTTACTGACTCTTTCTTCTATCATTTTATTTTGTAATTGACCTGTGCCAGTGAATTTTTTATTTCAGTTATATTTTGCATATATATATATATGTTATATAGATAATATATTATATACTTCCTGCAACTATGTCTGCTTCTGGAGCCAAGTGGCAGGAGGCCAGAGAGAAAAAGGAAACAGGGATTCTCTCCCTGTGCTCTTGGGGCCACAGTTCCTCTGGTCATAGAGGATCTGCCTTCCTCAGAGATTTTGGTTTAGATGCCTGGCCATCACTAACATAGTATATATAATGGGATTTCCTGGGAGCCTGGGGTGGGAGGAAAAAACAGCAAAAGGATTTCCCTCATTAGCTCATACTCTTAGGGGTCCCTCTTTCCTCTCCTCAGACCAGAGAGGGTTTCTTTTGGAGTCCCTTTTGTCCACATCCAGTTTCAAGCTGCTTTTGAGGTCAGGCCAGGGGATACCATGGAACAACACAGGTATCTCACCACAGAATTAGTGAAACCTCAAATTCCGATCTCCTTCCTAATCCACCTGTTAGTGTTTACTTTCAAAGTCTTCAGATCATTGACCTACACATCTGTCCAAGATTTTTAGTTGCATTCAGATGGAAGAGATGGGGTGGGCATGCTACTCCATCTTAATCTTGAAAAAGAATCTTAAAAATCCTTGGAAAAGACTTTTTCAAAGCACTATTTGCTTATTAGTGTGAGGAATACAAAAGAAAAGGAAAAGGAATGAGGGCTTATTTGAATACATGCCACAGTTTTTCTGTTAATTAAATAACCTTCTGAAGTAGACAAAGCTGTAAGAGGCCACGTTTACCTCTGGACTATGGAATGATAAAGTGACAATATCCCTGCCTTCACAGTGGTCCTTACTGTCTGAAGGGTAAGGTATGCCTCATGATTATGAGATGTCAGGAACTTCGTGAGTCGACTTTTAGTTAAGGACCCCTAAAGGAGCCTGTCTGCCTTATGTAAACTAACAGTTTTGCTTCTGGACGAATGTCAGGCTATGTGGTTGATGAGCTCAGGGGGTTTGGGGTTTGGAGACCCTCTCAACAGCCCTCATTTCCCCTTGCTGAATGACAGCTGATTCTGCTGAGGTTGCCACATACGGCCATACAGGCTGCAGACTACCAGCTCCGGGAGAAACTTTTTTTCTTATGGATTTTGATGTTAATAGCACTTTCTGGAGCTGCATGCTCTGCAAATAGCAGAAGTCTTGGACAATAAAAAACTAGGATTTGTCAGTGACAGCATGTCACCTCCTTTTCTTTGTTTACCCTCTGCTTCTTTCCTCCTTCCCAGTGTTGGAGGAAGATGGCCATCACCTCTCCAGAGTCTTTGAAGCTCCCTAGAAGAAATCACCCATTCTCCCAGAGTGCCCCAGCAGGGCTGAACTCCACGGGCTGGCCAGAGCACATACCTGACAGTGGTGAGTTGTGCACCTCTCTCTTTTGCTTCATGCTCTGGTGTCCTGGAAAGAAGGACAAGAAGTGAGAGAGTGTTACTGACTGCTATGCTTACTTGTCTGGAGAAGTAGCTTGATGATGGAGAAAGAAACCATTACCTCTTACCCCTCAAATAGGAAGAGGTCCCTATCACCAGAGAAAGGGAATCCTTGGGTTAGGGAAGATTTGATTATTGAATCCCCAAATCTGGCTCCATTCATTTATTTGGAGTAGAATTAATAACTACCCCTCAGGTATTATAATAGGATATCACTTGCAGAATAATTAATCACATGAAGAGTTACCTCTAATCTAGTGATGGAACTTGAGTGTTTTCCCCAAGCCTCTTCATTGAGTTTTATGGCAGCTTCTCTGAGTCCATTTCCCAAAACTATGGCAAACAGCATCACATCACATATTCGTCCACAAAAAGCCAGACTTTTGTGACAGAAGGAAACTGGGCCCTAGTGAAAGCCAGGATGGGGTCTCCTTCTGCACAATTACCACCTTTCCTAGATCCAACCCAAGATGGCCTAGACATGCTGAAAATGCTCAAGGGCTCCTTGAGGGAGGACTGCTACTGGGTCTCAGATCTTGAGCAGGTGTAGATTAATTAGATGGTGACCTTATGGTCTAAAAGTATACAGATGGCTGGAGGGAGAAGCCAAATCTGGTGTTAAAGAAGGATAAGGCCCTAGACAGGTTGAAAAAACAAAACAGCTACACCAGTCAACTTTGGTGCTTTGTCCAGACCTGGAGACTGAGAATGGCACTGGCATTCAAGTCTGCCCAGAGTCTGGTCCTGTGAGCCAGAGACAGTGAGTTAGCCAAAGATGGTACGAGAGAGGCGTGACTGGGCCCTGAGCTTTGACGTGCGGCACATGCTGTGTGCAGGAGTCAGCTCCAAAACCAACCTGAGTTTTAATCTCTGAGCCTGGCTCAGTGCACACCAGTGGCTTGTCTTGGGGGCGAGGGCTGCTCAGGTTAGCTGGTGGGCATGGTTGTTTTCCATTAGCAAATGTATGTGCTTATGCTGCCCTGTGAAGTGGACTGGTATTCTTCCCCAGATATGACTGTGATCTTAAAGGTCATGATGAGGTTTTGACAACTACTGAAAGAATCTTGTCAAGGGAAAAGATATTTCTAACATAAACTCTTTGTTCAGCCATAGAATTATTTAGAAGCTCATTGAAGTAATGGGTGAAAGTAGCATTTTCCAACAGTAATCCTCAAGGGTGATTTTGGCCCTTGGAATTAGAAGCTTCTTACAAATTCAAATCTTAGTCACCATATATTTCTGTTATTTTAGAGCCTCATTTGAATTAATTGGCAGATGAATTTTTTATAGAATAAGAAATAAAAAGCCCTCAGTGACACACAGCAGGCCTGAACAAGAGGGTGCTGCTCTGGGCATCCAAGGCTCGGGCTCTGGCGCTCACTGCACTTCCCGGGGGATTGAGAGCTTGGGCATGTCCCTCCACTCCTCTGACCTCTGACTCCTTCTTATTCACAAAAGGAGTCATCAATAAGCTGGTATACATCTGAAGTTGATTCAGATAATTTAAGAAGTATGTGTAAAACCCTAGAGTAACCATTTAAAACACTCAGAAGATATAGTGAAAGACTCATCAATAAAATTAAAATGCTACATTAGAAAATATTCACTTGATGCAAAAGAAACAATAAAAGAGGAATAGAGGAACAAAAAAGGCAAGACATAGAAAACAAAAAGTAAAATGGTAGCTATGAATCCAACTGTATCAATAATAACACTAAATATAAATCAATAAAATAGACAATCAAAAGACAGAGAGGTCACTGGACAAAAAAACATGATCTACCTGTATGTTGTCTATAGAAGACACACTTTAGATTCAAAGATACAAATGTATTGAAAATAAAAGGATGGAAAGAGATACAGCATATAAAAAAGAAAGCTAGAGTGACTCTACTGATACCAGATTAAATAGCTGTTAATGAAAACAAAAAAGTTGCTAAAGAGGGGACTTTTATAACAATAAAAGAGTCAATCCCTCAGGAAGATATAAATTACAAACATATATACACTTAATAATAGAGCATCAAAATACATAAAGCAAAAACTGACAGAAATTAAGGGATAAATAGATAATTGAACAAATAATAATTGGGAGGTTTCAGTACCGAACTGTAAATAAAGGATAGAACAGCTAAACAGAAGATTGAGGAAATAGAAGATCTGTTCACTATAAAGCAACTGGACCTAATAGGTATCTATTGATCATACCACCCAAAGCAACAGAGTGTATGTTCTTCTCTATCTCCAAGACAGAATATTTAGTTCATAAAAGAACCATCAATAAATTTGAAAGGGTAGAAATAATACAAAACGTGTTCTTTGGCCATAATGGAATAAAATTAGAAATCAGTAACAGTAAATTTGGGAAACTCACAATTATGTGAGTTTATATTCCTCTAATTCTATGACCTTGTTTATAATGGCAATCAGAATTCTTTTTCTGATAAATGTGAAATCTGGTCACTTCTCACAGGCAGTTTCTGTTGCCTGCTTTTTATGAGTCATCATTTGCTGTTTCTTTTCATGTCTCATAATTTTTGGTTGAAAACCAGATATTTTAGACAATATAGGAACTCAGGTTATTATCCCCACTCTGGTTATGTGCTTATTTGTTTACTAACTGGGAAAGTTGTCCTAGCGCAGTTTGTCTCCTCTCCCACTGTGTTAAGCCTCTGGTGACGCTCCTCGGGAAGGTGCAGCTTTGGCATGCCTACAGCTACCCTAGGATGGCAGTGGTTTGGGGAGGGCTCTGTTTTATCTTCTTCCCTGACCACACCCAAATGTTAAACTCCACTAATTGGCAGCTGATTGCACTACAGTTTTCAACAGGAGCATAAATTGCTCTACAAACTAATCCAATCAAATTCTGGCTCCTTTGAAGGAATAGTTTCAGAGGTCTGTGTTTGGCATTTGATCTGATCGCAGCAGAGCTTCTCTAAAATGTTTTATTCTAGATTCTTTCCTGCAAACGAACGAGGTTGCAATCTAGTCTGTATCATCACTAGGTCCATGAATCTTTTCCAAAGAAAAAGTGCATTACAGTACAGTCTCCACTGTTCTTGAGAACACCTTTAGGTTTGAATTTCTTCAGGCTCTATTGCAAATGAGGTCAATTCCTTTGGGAAGAGATCGGTAGCTATTTGTTTTACAGCCTTCAAAATTTTTTCCCTCCAGGTAAAATCTTTGAGCAAGGGCTCTAGTGCTGGAGAGGGTGGGGGGCAATGGCAGGCTTCTCTCTGAGTGACAGTCAGTGAAGGAGGGTGCAGTAGCCTACGGTTCCATCAGCTTGCCTCTCCCAGCATGGACTCATAGCCTCACCAACAGGGGAAATGGCTATCAGAGCCCCAGTATTCTCAGCATGCTGAAGAAGTAGACCCCTGCTCCTCAACCACTCTTGTCCAGGACGTAGCCTCAGCAACAAGGAGCTGGGGCGGGGTGAGAAATGCTGCTCCTCCAGGGAAGGATGCTCTCCAGTGGGAGCTTTGCAAGAGGGAGCCCTGTGTCCTTGGCTGTAGCCATCCGGAGTGGCATCTCCACCCAACTGAGCTGGGGGAAGGGGGCAAGCAGGAGTGGTCTTGGTTCAAATACCGCAGACTCTCACTTTTCTTACTAAATTTTCATTGATTTTCTTGAAGAGCTGCTTATTTGTTATTTGCCCTTCAGACAGTTTCCAGAAGTTTTACATAGTTATGCTTAAATAATTTTCACCAGTGTCCCTGAGGAGGGGGTCAGTGGGGCTCCTCACACTGTCCTGCCTAAGGTTAGCCTCAATTTGCCCTATGTTTATAACCTATTTGCCATTTCACTGAGAGTCTCAGAGGAGGTAAGTTGGATGACTGAGCTCAAGTCATACCCACTCAACATCAACATCCATTGTCTAAACTTCTTCATTCTATCCCCAACGGCCAGCATTGTGCTCTGCATGATGTAGGCTCACTGTCACTTGTCAATAACACTGATGATATTACGGCAAGACCTGGAGAATCCTTAAAATAGGAAGGAAGGGAATTCACAGTTATACAGTGGTTCCGAGTATGGGTGGTAGCACTGGACCTAATTCCACCACTTCCTTGGTTTGAGACCTTAGATTAATCTGAGCTTGTTATTTTCAACTGAAACATAGGGTTACTAATAGTATCTATCAATTAAAGTTGTTATGGAAGTTAAATAATATACACAAAGTACTTAAGACCTTATATATACTTAATAAATAGCAGCTAATATTCCTACATTGCAAGGCACTGTCATATATTTACATATATTTTACATACATACTTCATTTAGTCCTCACAATTGTCCTGCAAAACTAGTTGTTAGTATCATTATTTGATGGATGAGGAGACAAAGTCTCAAGAAGGCTGTTATTTTCCCAAGGTCACCAATAGTAAGAAAAGAAACCAAGATTTGAACCCAGGTCTCTCTGGCTTTAAGCTTCTTTCCACCCAACACTATTGTAGGAACTGATGTACAGGGTTAGTTAGGAGAGACAGGACAGAAGCCAAGCTCTACGCTGGGGTGGGTTTCAGTCCCATCCTGTGCCTGTTTCTACAGGTGCAGTTGAATTGCTCGGGTTTGCACATCACAGAGCCAGCCTCAAAAAACACTGACCTTCTGTGTAGGCCTGTCTTTGTTTATCTGTGTGTGTATGAATATATATACGAATTAAAAATTAAGAAACAGAGGCTATCTTCCAAGCATAGTATGGTAGTAGTAGTAAAGTGAAAGAGAGAGATGGACAACTTTGCCACTTACTTGGGGCTGGACCCCACAGACCTGTGAGGACTGACTGGGAGAGGTGTCTTGATCTGCCTTCTGTTGGCAGTGGCCACGGCCGTCCTGAGCAATTCTTCCCGCCCGTAAGAGTTTACCTCACAGGCCTCAGCAGGACAATCCCAGGAGAACACGGGAGGGGACCCCCCTTCACAGGAGAGCACACACAGGACCAAGGGAGGGGAGGGCTTCTTCCCAAGGACAGGGAAGAATGGAGGCTTCGGCGCAAGTGGCCTGCCAGGTGCGCCGTGACCAGGCAGAGCACACAGGTGCCCCAGATGAGTAAAGCAAACCGGTGCAGGGGCCTTCAAGATGCAGGTTTGGCTGAGCCACCCCCAATGCTCAACTGAACACCCGACAACACTGGTATTGCTTTATGCTCGTACTGAGCCTTGTACTTTACAAGATCGTTTGCATGCCATTGTCCCCAGGCCCCTAAGCCTGTTAATACCTGCATGTATTAATGTATCACCTGATAGAGGCGGTAACGAGTGCCTGCAGAGGAGGAGATGGTACTTAGGGAGACGAACGGTCCCTATCTTGCAGAGCTAGCAGCCCTTACGGCTTAGGGAAGGAGATGGGCTCCAGGAAATGGATCCCAAGGGGAGGGGAAACGAGGGAGGGCTTTTCCGGCATCCCTGTACCACCGCTGAACTGGGCCGTGGTAAGTGCCTCTCATTTCATCCTCACCGTGGTTAATACTTCGGCCACTTACACTGCAGCCGGCTCCCCAGGGCGGGGGGGAGGCGGAGGGAAGGAACGTAGGCGGCCCTGGCCGGCCCTCTCAGTCCCTACTGGGACTCGCCCTCACACATTCCCGCCAAGATGCGACCCAGACTCCCCCTGCTTGTCACCTCCCAGATTTTGTCATTCCTCCAAGTACTTCTTCATTTGGAAGTGGCCCTAGTTTGGAGCAGCGGAGGTACCTCGCCCTTTAGGCGCACTCCAAGAACCCGGAGAACGTCACGAGCTTCCGGGAGGGCCAGAAAGACCCCCCATCCCAACGTGCACCGGCCGAAGGCGAACCCTGTGACCCCCGGCTCAGGGCCCGTGCTCGGTGACTCCCACCTCCCTCCATCTGTGCCTGTCACCGGCTCCTTGCAGACACTTTCAAAGTCGTTTGCACGTACCATGACTAGGCTTCTGACAGCTTCGTGACCCCCGCGGGGCCCCCGGGGACGCCCCCTGAGCCGGGCCCGCTGCTGCCGTTCGCAGGGGCCAAGTGGCGGGCGAGGCCGGGGCCGGGGCCGGGGCCAGGGCCGCGTCACGGCCCAGCCCGCTGCCCGCCCGGTGGTCTCGGCGCCCGCGGAGCCCGCCCCGGGCCGAGCCTGGCCTGCGCCTGCGCTCCCGCCCCAGCCGCCGGCCCTCCTCCCCCCCGGGGCCGCGGGGTGCCGGGCGTCCCCGCCGGAGGATGCCCTGCTGGAAGGCGCGCGGGCGAAGCGGCCGCGGGGCGCGGCCCTGCGGGCTCCCAGGGCGCCCGGGCCTCCCGCGCCGCGCCCGCCGCCGCCGCCCCGGGTCTGCGTGCGCGCCTGCGTGAGTGCGTGCGGCCGGGGCCGCGGCTCTGCGCCCGCCGACGGCCGGCGACCGGTGCGTGGCGCCCTGCCCGGGGGCGCCGGCCTCCGCCCAGCCGCGCGCCGCGCCCGCAGAGGGTCCCGCGCCGGGGCCGCAGAGCCCGAGCGCGCGCGGCCGGCCGGCAGCTTCCTCGGCGGAGCCCCGTGATGTCGGCGGGCCCGGGGCGGCGGCCCCCCGGCGGCGGGGAAGCGGCCGGGGCCGGGGCCGCCGCTCCGCCCGCGCGCCGCTCGCCCTCCGACAGCGGCCCCGGCAGCCCCGCCGCCGCCGCGCTGCTACCCGCGGCCCCGCCGCCCGGGAGCCTGTGGCTGGAGCTCGGGCTCGCCTGCGCGGGGGCGCCGCAGTGCCCGAGTGAGTCGAGCGGGCAGACGAGCGGCGACCTCGGCTCGAGCAGCGGCAGCAGCGGCGGCGGGAGCAGCGCCGGGCTGTCCCCGGGCTCCGACTCGGACAGCAGCGGCGTGGTGTGCGGCGGCCGCGGCGGCGTGCGCGGCGCCCTGTCCCGCTCCTGGAGCCTGGAGAGCCTGCGCTCGGCCGCCGCGGGTGAGGGCGGCCGCGGGGGACGGGGGCCGCGGGGGGCGGGCTGCGAGTGGGGGCCCCGCTGGGGGTGGGGGCCGCCGCCGCCCCGCGCACCTCCTGTGCTGAGCCGAGCCTCCTTCCCCCTCCTTCCCTCGCCTGCCTCACTTTTTCCATTTCTCGTTTCTATCTCTGGTCCCTTCGTCCTGCGGATTCCTTTGCGTTTTTCTGGTTCTCTGCCGATTTCCCACCGTCTCTGTCCGTCCCCCCACCCCCTCCTGCCGGTGAGCCCCCTGTGCGGCCAGGCCCCTGCAGCAGGCGCGTCGGCTGGGAAAGGTGAGAGGGCGCTGTCCTCCCCTAGACTGACCGTGACCAGCGGCGCAGGTCCGGCCTTCGGACCCGCAGCCCCGTGACAGGCGGAGAAGGGAGGAGAGGGCCCGCAGGCGCCTGCCCACCGGATCCAGCGTGTGGTCTTGGCTCCTGGACGGCGGCTCCCGGGCCAGAGGAGCGGGTTCGTGGACCCTCTGGAAAAAGCAATGCAGTTTCCCGGAGATGGGATTGCCCTGGGGTGCCCTGGACCGTGTGCTCGCCACAGTGCCCCCCTTTCACCTGGAGGGCCGAATTCTGGGTACAGGTTGAGAGGAAGACTTTGACCCCAAATGTTAATTAAGCAAGGAAGTCAAAAGTGGTTTTGTGGATGGTGATCGCCTACCCTCGGTTAGCTCCTAAACTGGATTCTGTGTATTTTACTTCTCGCACACACTCAAGTTACTTTTGAGCCCCTGCTGTGGGAGCTATAAAGAAAGGTTTTCTACCTCGAAATGGAGAGGCAGTGCACCCATTTCACTTCTGAGTGGGGTGAGGGATGAGCCCGTGGAAGTGGCAGGGCCCGCATGGGCGGTGGAGGTGCGGCTGTGTGCGTGCCCAGGTCACAGCGGCAAAGCCGGAGAGCAGCAGGGGGCGGGGCAGACGGCACCGCCGCCGGGGAGCAGACCGTGCAGGGGAGGGCGAGGGTGAAAGGCTGCAGAGCATCGGGATGGGCAGATACGGGGCCTGGACTCTGCTCTGAAGTCAGTAGGTGCGGAAAGGGAAAGCGAAGGATGCCTCTGCGTGGAGTGCTTGATGACTCGCATCTGTCCCAAAACAACACAGGAAACCACGGACGGCTGGCTTATCCAGCTCTCAGGGTCTCCTCCAAACGAAAGCTCTTTAGACTTTTGCGGCTCAAGCCCCTCCCTTCCTGATTCCCTGGAAAGGCCCCTTTCCCACCTCTCCGGGACGCTTAAATAGAACCCACCCTGAGAAAACCAAACCAGACGGCGCGGTCAGTGGGGCTGCAAGCAAACTTTAAGGCTTCCTTCTTTGTACCCCAATGACTCCCCTTCCACTTCCAGCGTGGGGAGACATCCCTGCTCCACCACAGCCTCGGCAGACAGACCCCGAGGGGCTTGGGGATGCGGCCCTGGCCATTCCAAGGACTCCCTTGCCGTTCTGTCCTCCTGCCCCAGGGCAGGGATGAGGCAGCTGGAGGTGGCAGAGACCGAGGTTCATTAGGTGTTCCTCAGATCCAGGGACTCCCCAGAGAAGACCAGGGGCACTGAGGCAGCCTGGATGGGGTTCAGAGAGGTGTATGTGTGTGAAGATCTGGGGTGGTGTCAGTGGGGGGCAGGGGTAAAAGCCACGGTCTAAAGATGGCTCCTTGAGGGGCTCAGAGCTGCCCCTGCAATGGCAGGGCAGCAGCGTTTAAAGCAGCATGATACTGGAAGTGTTGATGTGAGACCCAGAAGCAGATGCCATGCCCCTCACAGATCACTGGACCACTGGGGCCGGGGCCCAGGTGCTGCTTGCTAGGTGTCAGGCAGCAAACCACCTGTGTCCACCTCCAACCTGATCCCCTCCCTAGTCCTCTACTTCCTGCCTTCTTTTGGGGTCCTGTACCAGAAGTGTTCAGTCCCAGGCATGTAAAAGTGTGCTCTCATGAACACTGGCAAGCTGTGTGAACCCGTGACTCTCTCTCTCAACTGGATCCTTGAAGAGAATTAAGCCCTGATGTCCTAAGGTATCCATTCTAGACCTTAGCTTTTACCCCTGTCCCCTACGGACACCTAGCAGCCCCTGTGCTGGGTTTGGAGTGGAGGCTGTGCCAGGCCCAGCGCAGAAAGAAGCATGTGGAGGGTCGGCACACTGAGGTGATGTCTTGGCTCCTTGCGTGATGTTAGCTTTATTCAACAGTCACAGCTTTTTTTCTGGGTCCCAGCTACCCCAGTTTCAAAATGTGGACATTGAAACCAAAGTTTTGACCTCTTTTCTAATCAACTCTAAAATTCCAGGATCCTAGGCAGAGCTATTGATTTGGGATGGGTACCCCTCCACTGAGTGGATGTTTATTGCATATTGTGTTTCTGTTTGATCCCTAACACAAAGCATGTGTGTGTATAATTGAACTGTGTTTATTTCTTAAGAAAAATTAAGAATTACCAGTAAAAGATCCTTAGCATTATTGTGGTGGTGGTTTTTGAAATGGAGTATATTTTTAAATATTTTTTTAAGTTGTCAACAAGAACCAGAAAGGCTATAGTACATGAGGCTGGAATCGCAACTTAAGTGGCAGGACAAAGCTTTAGCCAGGTAAGCCAGCAGGGAACTTACATTCTCCTTGTTTCTAAAGACTTCTTGAATTCTAAATGTCCAATCTTTGCATTTGCCATTGAAATAGCACTTATCCTGGTACAAAAAAAAGGCTTTCCCTAAAGGTAGAATCTGAAAATAAAGTGTAGTCGACAGGGTAGAATGTGCTGTCCCTTCTCTCTGCCCTTTTCTCATGCCCCGAAGCACCCAGAGCCCCTGGGGCCCTCAACTGTGCTGTCACACCGCTGTGATGTGCCTAAGATTTTCAAATTCTTATTCTGGATGTGCTGTCTGACAGGCTTAATTTTCAATTCAGTCTTCTGGGGTTGACAGTTTCCACTACTTGTGCTTTTGAATGATTAATGTCCTATGATTTCTTCTTGAGAGAGAATCCGTGCTACTCCCACATTCTCCGCCAGCCTCTGAGGCATTATTCTGACTGAGGTGAGAATAAGACTTAGAAGAAGGGTAGGCTTGTCTTGCCATCAGAGATTTAGCACTTATGCATGTTTCAGGCACAGCCTAGGTACCAGAGATGGTAGACATGCCATATGCTTAAAGAAATCACAGCCCAGAGAGAGACAGGCAGTGGCAATTCACTGTAAGTGCTGTGATAAAGTAAAGCCGGTGGGATGATGCTCTAGGGGTGCCTATGTCACTCTCGGGATGATTCTCTAGAGGGACTCGCAGAGCTCAGAACTCACCTGCTACACTCGTGGTTCAAGTTTATTGCAGTGAAAACATACAGATTAAAATCAATCAAGGCAAAATGTGCATTGGTCAGAGTCCAGGAGAATCCAGGCACCAGCTTCCAGGTGTCCTTTCCCATGGAATCACATGGCCCATGCTTAATTCTCCCTGCAGCGTAGGAAGTATTGTCAACCAGAAAGTTCACCGAAGCCTTGGTGTGCAAGGTTTTTATTGGAGGCCAGTTTCTTAGACATGCAGAGCCCACAAGACTGACCTTAGTTACTTAGTCTCCAGGTCGTCCAGAGGTCCCACTGATACAGTGTAGCTCAAAGCCCCACCATAAATCACGTTGTTAGTATAAACTCTCTGGCCTGGCTCAAGGCAGGTATACAAAGACATGTATCAGGCAAGGTACTTCAGGGACTTGGAGACGATCTCCCAGGAGCCAGCTGAGGGCCAGTCCTTCCTTCAGAATGTGAGGTTTGCCCATTCCCAAGCCTTTACTGCACAGCTGACGGGACTCAGAAGAATGGGCACCCAGACCCAACCTATTAGGAAGGACAAAGACAAGAAGTGAGTCAAAGAAATCTTTCAGAAGGTATCGCTTGCATTTCGATGTCTGTAAGTTAGCTGTACTGAGGAGTAGAAAGAGCTGACACAAGAGGGGGTGAGCATTAACAAATGTGGAAGATGTCTGAAGGAAGCCAGCCTGTGTTTACGAGCAGCAGCGCCAGGTGCCATGGCAGGTGCTCTAAGTATGCAGCAATTGCCAGTAATGTAGAATGAGGAGCCTCAGGACAGGGAGACCTGGCTGTGGCTCCAAGCCAGGAAACGTATTGAGCCAGGACAGGTTTTAGGCAGGAAGCTAATGTGTCCAGATTGCTTGCATACTTCCTCCCCTTCTCGCTTTATATTTTTTTCAAAGCTATACACAGTTAAAAGTTACTCTTTCTGGTAGTGTTCTTAGAGTCTGACAAATGCATACAGTTGTGTAACCACCACCATAATACAGAAGAACTTCATCACTCCAAAAAATTAATGATGCCTCTTGTAGTCAACCCTTCTCCCACCTCCTCACCCTGGCT